TGGAGAGTAGGAGATGCAAATGGAACCGATTGTACTGACAATGAAATGAAGGAAGCTATAGAATCAACTCTGTTTGTTGACATGCAATTGTCTACACTGGCAGATATAAACTATGTAAATTATGTGTATGGTTGTTTAATTAAGCAATCATTGTTTATAATTTCATATAGGAAGAAAGGAACACAACATTGGGAATTTTAAACAACAACGGATCACTAACAGAGACTGACTTTTATTCTCTCTTACATTCAAAAGTATTTTATGCTTATGATGCTGCTAGAATACTTGCTCTAACATGGAATGTGACCATTGACAATTATACCACAGAGGAATTACATAATTTTCTTAACCAATCCTGGAAGATTTCAAATTCAAATCAAAGTAAAACTCTAGTACAAAAACTCCAGCAAAATTTATTCAATGTTGTCAGCCCATATACTGGATTGGCTGTAAGATGATTTATTACGCTATCCTAATTCTCATTGATAAACAATAGGGATCATATGATTTTGATAAAAATCAAGGAAAACAGGGATCAGCCATTGTAACTCAATTTACAGGTAGATAGTTATGTCACAATCTAAATGCTAAAACTTTAATCATCACTCCCTAGACATTCCATGTATTGCATTAGTAATATAAACCTACATAGCATAGTAACTTTGTTTATGTAATTGTACTAGCTATGATAAGTTATTGTGAGATGTAGCATCTTAATTTATAATTAATGTGTACAACAAATAGCTATAGTGCACACAATTACATACTTTTTAGGTGGAAAAGAGTGCATCATAGGCTATTATGACTCAACTAACAGCACTAACTTGCAGGAATGTGACACTGAGTTTTGCTGTAATGTGACATGGAAAGGTATGACATGCTAATACAAATGTGACTGTATATGCATGTATGTACATGCACTGTTATCAGACATGGGGTCAAGCACTAGGAAATGTGCTTAAACACAAACGCAAGCACTTAAATGTGTTAGAAGTACCAGCACAAGCACAATCTATAGCTTTAACATAAGTGCTTAAGTACAAGAATAAGCATTCTCCAGAGTGCTTAATTACATTAATAAGTACTAGTTATTCAATAAGTGTACAAATAAAGTAAAATTACAATTATAGTTAATTTACTATTGCATCTAATAAACACTAACTCTGTGAATTGTTCATAATAAATGGAAACCGCAGAGAGCTTTGGAGTGATACCACTAATGGTGATGCCATTACCGTTCTTCAAGTTAACATACAATCACACAATGTGCTACGAAACTTGTATACTACATGTACATGTAGATGTACCATGTAGATGTACATGTAGATGTACATGTATGTGTACATGTAGTGGTGCGTGTACATGACATCGACATACATGTATAGATGTACATGTAGATGTACCATGTAGATGTACATGTACATGTACACTATTCGTGTGTAATTTTTGCTATGCTTAAAAGCACTTTTGTAAATTTGTAAAAGTAATTAAGTACAAGTACAAGGCACATAGATTATATTGAAAAGGTACTTGTAAGCAGCATTAAGTACTTTGAAAGCTGTGCTTATTTGTGCTTAAGTACAAGCACCAAGTGCTTGACCCCATGCCTGACTGTTATGTAGGATGTAATCAACCAATGGATGGATTGTGTCCTAATGGCTCATGCACTTGCAGGCAACCTTTTGATAGCAGCATAATGACATCTTACATTTCTATAACAGTGCTCTTAAGCATTGGAGTTGTAATCAGTATGCTCCTACAGATTTATAATTATCATTTGAGAAATAACAAGTAAGAAGTACCTTCATAATGTCATGCTGTTACAAAAATTGATGAATTACTATTTCAATAGATATTTTAAAGGGTCATCACCCATTCTAAATGCTATCATTACATTTGGCTGTACATTGGGATATGCTAATGGTTACTTGTTTCTTGCTAATTATTACATAGGAATGACTGGTAATGGAAACCTAAAACCAATATGCAATGTAAGTATTGTAAATAAATGTCATTTCTGTGATTAAATAATGTGTTGATAGGTGACAGTATCATTGTTCTGGCTCTCACAGTTACTGATCAACTCAACCATATTAATGAAAAACTGGAGAATTTTCCGAATATTTCACAACCCATCACAGAAAAATAGAGTAATGCTTTTCCTTTAAATTTATGTATATATATTTTTCTATAGAATAATCTATCGAATGTGAAGCTATTTCTTGGAATAGGTGTCACCTCTGCTCCTGTAATTGTGGCACTGACAGTAA